TTAAAGTTATATCATGAAGTGTACTTTTAGCTGTTTCAGAGCCTGCTAGTTCCATGGGGGAATCTGGAAGAGAGAGAAATTTTTTCACCAAAGGGATGAGGGTGGGTGTTATGCTTGTGACTTCCTCAGCTCTGAGAGGAGAGCGAGGCTCTACATGTGTGGCCCTGGCTGTGGTGTAGGCATTATATGGAACCTCAATCTTCCAAACTCTTTCTCTCATGAGTCTCTGTGACCTGCAAGCTTAGACAAGCCTTTAAGTCACTAGGATGGTTAAGTCACTAATTTAAACTCGTTGAAATAAGCAGAAGACCCTGCCAACACACACACGCACACACACACTGTTTGAATTATAATACATAATTCTTTAAGCATCAGATTTCTCCCAATCTGACACTAATTATAAAAGTGCAACTAAAGCATAACCAAATCAAGGAATGAAAGATAAAGAAGATATTTCAAATAAGAGATACTATCTTCTAGTGGTGAAAAAAAATCTCTTGACATGGGGACTAGCAGAGGTAGGAAGATGGTTTTAAGGAAGTGGGAGATGAAAATAAAGTCCAGAAGAAGAGATTTAAGAGGTGTCAAGCCGGGCAGATGGAAGAGAAGAGAGAGGAAAATAGGAGACTGAAGACAGAGAGGGCCACTGCCGAGAAGATTACTTCTGTCATTCTGATGTCAAAACTAAGGCACTCATCAGTTATTTCAAATGAAAATTTCTGGGCAAGCACAATATCTTTTAAAAATCATCTTGAGGATCACTTTGCTATACAAAAGCCCAGTTAAGTTCCTTCCATGGGGTGACGTCATCTCTTCTCATCCAGAATTTGCACACAGAGAGCTTTCGCCTTCCTTCCATGAGCTAAATGGACTCTCAGAGGCAAATGATATTTAATTGATCTTCACTTGTTCTAGCACTTTACAGGTGTGAGGTTTTCTACTAGAATTATTAAATATAGTTTTAAAATAGTCCCCCTTTAGCTATTTGTGTCCTTTTTGGAGGTGTTAAATGTGGAAGCAATTATCCTTTTCTTGACAGGATTTTTTTTTTTCTTGGCTCAGTAAAGCTTTGTGCTTTGTGACACCTGATGCGTAGGTAAGGAATCAGGCTTATTTTCTATTAATTTGCAGTGAGTTTCTTTCCCTTAGAGACCTGAAGGGGTAGGATGTATGCTTCTCTGAGAGATAAACCACAATCTGTTAAGTGTGTAGGAGGACACTAAAAGCTGGAAAAGATTATATTCTAGCAAAGGAAAATGTGGAAATCTTCCTTTTGTGTTACTCTATAAACATGGCAGAAAGGCAAAAAAGAGCTGATTAAGTGGTTTCATGGGAAGTAACCTAGAAAAGGACAGTCTTTGGGGTTGAATTATTTCTTGTCTTCTAAATTGGAATCTTTTTTAGAGTGTGTGAAGTATCATATTTTTAGTTGATGGGCCCATGAATTTGAAAGGCTCAGGTTCCTACTAGTGTTCAGTAAGCTGGGGCACCGCCAGCAGAAAAGATAAAATAAGCTCCCAGATTTCATCAAGGGTGTCTGATGTGTGCCAAGAGAATTTATTTTTCACATTCAAAGAGAATAAGTTTTTGTTGTTGTTGTTCATAGAATGATGAGCATACCAGCGTAGGTAGTTTGTGTTCTGTGGCAGTAGTGAACTGTCTTGGAGAATGTAAGATGTTTTATACTGCATGAAACTGAAGCCAAAATATATTAGAAAATACAACTGCTTTCTCCATTTTCGGATTCTAGTGAGAAAGTAGATCATTTCAAAGTTGCCTAGCAAACTGACACTCCCCAAGAATTAACAAATATCTTCCAGGCGGATAGGAATGGCATGTCAGAAGGAGTTTCAGAACCCAGTGATTCTTTGTGAAACATGGGCAGTATTTACAGGGAGTTGAAGTCAGTTAGGGCAAAATCATCTTAGTAACTTCTGTAGAGCATTTCCAATGGGGCAGCCATTTTACTGAGTCCTTTATGTGTACCATCTTAGACATCTATCACCTCTAGGAAATAGTTATGATTATCATCTTCTGCAAATGAGAAAATCAAGATAGAGAGAGGTTAAGTAATTCTATCAGGGAAATACTTCTCATAAACAGGGGAGGAGAAGCATGAAGAGCACTGGAATTGAATTCAAAGGATCAGAGTCCCAAGACTGTGGACTCAACTGTATGGAACACAGAATCTGGAAATCCTTTTATGATTGAGACAGTTGAGGGGTCCAAGTCTGGTTGGCTCACAGAGATGCTGGTGATCAAGGCCATCTACATAGGAAAAGTGGAAATGGATAAAGTTTACCTTTGGTGTCTCTTGCCTTCTCTTTATCCACCTTGAAGTTCCCACCACTTGTTCTAACCCCACTCCTGATTGCAAATTGAAGTCTCATTTCTAGAGGATTTTTTTTTTCTAGGAGGGATTACTATTAGAAGTAAATTATGATACTAGTTTATAAAATATTAAAGAATCACTCCTTTAAGGGGTCTTGGTATTTCAATAGGAAATTTTTTAATGATAAAATATTTTCAAAGCATATAGGGATCAATTCTAAAAGTGATGCTTCATTTCAAACCAATAGGGATGGTACTTTTCAATTAGGGGCTCTGTCTGAAGCCCTCAAAGCACATTGTGGAATGGTGGTGGCAACTTTCTTGTCTCTTGGAAAGTCCTCTTTTGTTACAGAAATGGAAAGATAGAATTGAAAGAAGGAGGAAACATTTTGAGGATGGGAAGTGATGCAAAAGGGGGAAGAAAAGTACGAAATTTTATAATGGGGTGGTGAGTTCCAACTCCACCTCTGCTAGTGTCTAGCCAGGTGACTAGAATGCATGTTGGCAGTCAGGACCTTCTCAGTGTTGCTGCCCTCCCCCTCTACCCCTGCCATACTGTCTGAGAGCTGAGAGGAGGGGCCAGATCAGGAAGGGAAATGCTAGAGATTGATAGAGGAGAACTGTCTAGAAGAAAAAGACACTAAGTTATGAGGCTAAGTTGCTAAGGTGAATCAATGGCATTGCATTCATTCATTCATTCGTTTAACGGATATTTATTGATTGCTTCTGCAATTCTCTTGGGTCTGAGACTAGACTCACTTGGATTAGCTCTACACTGCATTTTGAAATGCTGATTTTGCAGAATTGTGTCTTTATACACTTAGAATCTGATAAAGCCAACCAACTTAAGGTATTAAGTCCAGGTATTCTCTTGATCCTTCTTCAAATAAAGCTTCCAATGAGAACTTTGGAATGTTAAACAAATACCATTTTCTATCTTACCACATTATCCTAGAATACTCTGGCCAGAATGCTTATTTAAGCAGAACATATTTAATCAGCAGATCTACCACTAAACAGGGCCCCTGCTCTCTCTGGTAGGTACACACATGTGATTGGGAAAATATCAAAAATATAGTCCTTGTTTACCTACTTGTGAAACTCCATGGTTACCAAGTTAACCACAGCAATTGAAATCACATAGGATGATGTAAACCACTGGATTATTAAGAGCTGTCCAGGATTTTAATTGATGATCATGGATTACATTCTGATTCTTCAACCAGGGCCATGTGCAACATAGTGATGCTTGATGATATACCTCCAGCTTTTGACTTAAGATTTTAGGTCAAAAGGGGTAGATATTAGTCAGGACTGATTTCAAGATCTAAAAGAGGTTGACCTTAGTCATCCTGCTTTGACTATGCTATTGGGAGTTTGCACCCAGCTACTCCCTGAGCATACCGGCCTCACCAGTCTGCACATACAAAATAAGGCCATGATGATGTTAATTCTTGAATTTCCCTGGCCTTGTCGTTCTCTTATTACCAAACTGTTGAACCTCTCCAGCCCACCTCTCCCACCTTCTCCCAGCCTGGAGGGCTGTCTCACAGGGGCTCAGGGAGAAATCCACACCCACTGAGGACAACTGCGGCCTCACAGCTCCATCCAGCATCTTCTGTACCGGCTCCCACCGCTCCTGGGGAAGAAAGCCGCTCTCCACAGACGCTGTGTCCTGGGCTTCCCACTGTGTCACCTGGTGCCGTGTTCTCTTCAGGCAACACCAAATTGCTGGAGCTACAGTGTGTTCCACAGACGAAAAGAAAGACCCCTCCCCTCACTAACTCAGTCCCCTACCTGTCACCTGGGCCCTGAGCTAGAACTACCTGGCATAAGCAAACAAGGTTTTCAGATTTTTGCCTCTCTCCCCACCACCTTTCCAATGCACCTCAGGAGGTGATGTCACGGACTGCCAGAGAGACATATCATCTCCTCCAATATTTTCAACTCTGCCCTCTCTCCCCCAGGTCCCCAGAAACCAACTCTGCCCCCTCTCAGTTCAGCCAAAAGCTAAAAACCTTTATGGGTGTCCACGTATACAATCTATAACTTACAGATCACTGGTCTCATCTTCCCAGTCTCCATTTAGGCTCATTTGGGCCCATGCTGCTACCCATTCATAAAGTTGTCTGGTTTTGCTGAGTTCATAAACACAGGGAACTGAGGGGTCTGGTGGGGTCTGAGGGGTCTGGAGCCATTCGGCAGTATAGAGAATGCACATGAGAACCACCCCCAATTGAAGGCATCGCAGTGCTGGGCAGAAGAGCTGCTTTTGAGGAGTTTATGAACTCTTTCCAGCATGACTGCCTGCTGAGTGAGATGGAGCTCAACATGTGGAACGTAATTTGGCCTAGAAGACACACTTGCGCGTAGCTGAGAAAAAGGTCCCTGTGGGCTTCAACACAGCCTGGAGGTTTAGTCTCTGCCCTTCAGTTCTCTTAGGGCGTGAGAAGGCAGGGAGTGGAATTCAGATGGGGGAAAGGCACAGCATCTTCATCACATGGACTTCGGAGGAGACCAAGAGACAGAACTCTTGGGGAGTGATGTTGCTCTTCGTACAGACCCAGTGTGCCATGTCTTATTGGCCCCAGAATCCTCAGGGCTAGGCAGGAAGAAGGCGCTGTTTCCTTTTTGACTTCATCCCCTCTTACCTTTTGACTTAAAAACAGGACCTCCAGTCATTCATTCTGGAATCAAAGACCTCAAGGTCTTGAAAACCTCGCAGTCTGGATTTGAAGGATTCCTCAAGGATCAGTTCACCACCCTCCCCGAGGTGAAGGACCGGTGCTTCGCCACCCAAGTGTACTGCAAGTGGCGCTACCACCAGGGCAGAGACGTGGACTTTGAGGCCACCTGGTATGAAGAAGTGCTAGGGTCTGGCACTGGAGCAGGTAGTGTCCGCCCTCTCTTCCAGGGGCCTAGGGGTCTTCAGTCTGAAAGAGGAACTTGGAAGCCATTTAGTTCAACCTCCCCATTGTAAGAAATCCCTTCTGATGGGTAACAGAAAGAACACTGGTCTTACTCTGAGTTAGTAAACCTGCACTTGAATCTTAGATGCTCTTAGCTATAACAGCCTTCAGTGGACTGCCTGATTTCTCTGATTCCATCTTTCCTAATTGACTAAATCAGTAGTACACAAACACGATTGGGTATCAGAACCACGTGGAGGGTTTGTTGCACTGTGGCTCGCTGAGCCCATCCCCAGAGGTTCTGATTCTGTGGCCTGGAATGGGGCCTGAGGACTTGCGTTTTCTAACAAACTCCCAGGTGTTGCCATGCTTCTGGACCAGAGGCCACACTTCCAGAATCACTGGATCAAATGAGGATAGTGGCCTTGTCACTTCATAGCAGGTGCAGGGAGAGCTAAACCAGGCTGACCAAACTCATTCCAGTCTGTCAAGGGCTTTCCCGATTTTAACACTGAAGGTCCCATGTCCTAGGAAACCCCTTGGTCCCAGTCAAATTGGCCACCGTAGGCCAAACTCAAAACAAGATGACAGTTACAGAAGCATTTTCTAAATGATAAATTCTTTAGCATTGTAAAGGTATGACTTATTTTAACATCCTCAAGAAGCAGTGATTAGACCTCTGAATTCCCAGTTTGCTTTTGACCAGGTATCTCATTCCTTTGTCAAAGTTCTAATTGTTAGAATCTTGTACTCTGTGATGAGCTAGAATCTGCCTCCGGTAGCTTCCTCCCACGGGCAGAGTGTTGCTCTGCTCCTTTTATTATATGCTAGGTTGGAAATGCTTGAAGAGAATCTCACCTCAGTCTTTTTTTTTTTTTACCTCGTGTTTTCAAGTGTTACCCATGGGCAGCAGTCTGATGTATTTATGTTGAAATGAGTATGAAATTGAGATAGTCAGGGTACCAGCTGGGCATCCCACTAAGGAGAAGGACTAAGAGTGGATCATTTAACTTTTAAGCTCATATTCCTTCCAAATTGGGGATAATAATAATAGGAACTGCCTCAGGTACATTGAGAAAATTTAATGAAGTAATCACATAAAACACTTAGCCTACAGCCTGGCATAGTAAAACCCCTCAAAAATGCAGCAATTCAAGCAACCAGCCAAGCCAAGCAGCACAAAGATTAGAATGTGAGGAAGTCTTCATAAATTCTTCAAGCATGGAGGGGAAACTTACCCTGGGATGCCCATTGAGCCCTGGTGCCAGATTATGAAGATAGCCTAGTTATGCGCAATATGTCTGTTGACTGGTGTGTGTGTGTGTGTGTAAGGAAATGAGAAGTTAGGGTTGTTTTTCTTTTTGGCATTATAATATATCCCCGTGCTGTGCTAAGTCACTGTCGCGTCTGACTTTTTGCACCCCTGTGGACTGTGGTCCACCAGGCTCCTCTCTCCATGGGATTCTCTAAGTGGGAATACTGGAGTGGGTTGCCATGCCCTCCTCCAGAGGATCTTCCCAACCCAGGGATTGAACCCACATCTCCTAGGTCTCTTGCCCTGGCAGGCAGGTTCTTTACCACTAGCACCATCTGGGAAGTCCCTGTAATCCTCTCTAAAACCAGCAATAAAATTGTTTTGGGGGTGGGGGACAGAGAGGTCACCATATCTTAGTTTCACAGTGAATTCCCGAAGACCACCCTGTGGGAGCCCTCAGTTCTCCTTTCTGTGTTCTAGGGAGGCTGTCAGGGGCATCGTCCTGGAAAAATTTGCTGGACCCTGTGACAAAGGCGAGTACTCGCCCTCAGTCCAGAAGACCCTCTATGACATCCAGGTGCTCTCCCTGAGCCAGCTTCCTGAGGTACGTTTTGTCACTTGCCATTCTGAAGACTGAGAGAACTTTCTGTGTCTCCTGTTAGCTCTGAGAAAGAGCTGAGAGTTAAAATAAGAAAGTGGAAGACACATGAAAAATGACATCTGTTGTTGCTCAAAAGCTTGTTATAGCAAGTGAGAAAAGAGAAAAAAAGTGGAAAAATCTGTGCAACCTGAAAACATAGGCCACTGCTGTAGTTCTTTAGTTTTCTTGAAGACTCTGAGTCTCTTCAATCTGCTACAATTTGAGTCTCATATTTAGGACACTCGAATGGCCTGAAGGAGGGGTAATTATCCCAAGGGTCTATGTTTCCGGAAGGCCAGAGAATGAAGGATAGATGCAGAGAGATTGCATCCATCCATCCATTTGATATTATTGAATGTTACTATGTCTCTATCAGCACATGAGAAAATCAGGGATAAATTAGACATAGAGTCCCATAGACTCTACCCTCAATGAGTTCATCATTCAGTGAAAGAAGAAAATAAGTAAGCTAAATATTCAATAAACAATAGAATATTATGGAAATTCAGAAGACAGCACCTAACTCAAGTATATGGGAAATGCCTATCAGGCTCTTTGGAAGGAGAAGTATTTGAGTTGAGCCTTAAAGGACAAGTAGGGGTTTTCTGGCTTCATACTCAAGGATGAGGGAGGGGTAAGTATGGACAACAGGAGGCAGCATGGAATAGGCATTTATTGTTGAAGATCTGCCACACGTTAGGCTCCAGGAGTGAAAGCCCTTCCATGTGCCTAGGTGGGAAACAGGTCTGGAGGGCTTTGTGGTCTCTGTAGAGTCTATATTTTATCCTGAAAAAATCTTAGGAGCCACCGAGGGGTCTAAGCAAGGTGCCACGCTACCAGCTTTGCACTCTAGAAAGACCGCTCTGAAAGATGTGTGATAGATTAAAAGGATGATGGGCCATAGACAAGGAGACCTATTGGGAGGTTATTGCAGGAAGCCGGAAAGGAGGGCATGAACCATGGCCATGATGGGATGGAGAGGACAGTGCTATCCTTAGACCTGGGCAAGAGGGACACCCACCATGGCCCAGAGGCCCCCTTCAGGTCATCCTCTAGCTATGCTTCTCTCTACTGGAAGAGGCACTTCAAGGCAGTGAACACTTCAGGAGCCCATGATTCCCCTTATAGACCATTCTCTGGGATGTTTGCCATCAGGCAACTTGACATTCAAGCTGGAATATCCACCCACGTGAGTCCAAGAGAGAGGATAGGGTGGGCCAGGGGTTGGGGCTGGCTCTTCCCATGCTACCAGGTCCTGGCCTGATGCTGCAAGGAGTCAGAGGATTTAAAATTTGGTCCTGGCCTTCCAGATAGTTTTGAAGGACTGAAGGATAGTTGTGAAGGACTATCTGTTAAGTTACAGAGATAAAACATATTTCTATCTCTGTATTTTAGCTTGACTCATAACTTTAAGTCTTTAAACATGTGGTATGAGTGTGTGCTAAGTCACTTCAGTTGTGTCCAACTCTTTACAACCTTATGGACCATAGCCTACCAGGTTCCTCTGTCCATGGGATTCTCCAGGCAAGAACACTGGAGTGTGTTTTCATTTCCTCCTCCAAGAGATCTTCCTGACCTAGGGATTGAACCCACGTCTCCTGCATCTCCTGCATTGGCAGGTGGGTTCTTTACCACTAGTGCCACCTTGGAAGTCCAAAACATCTGGTGTGGGGACCTCCAAATGCTCTTACTCCAGGGCCTGCAAATGTTGAGGACAGGCCTGGAGAGGAGGGTACGGACTGAGTGGGAACTGAAGAGGTTGATGGGCCGACATCTGGAAGCCAGCTGGATGCTGAACATTTCCCAGGTGTCTGACCCCAGGAGATTTTACTTTTCTGAGAAATGGATTTCATACACAGAGGGAGGGGTGAGTCCATCATTTAATAATAGTACTAGCTAGACAGAACAGTGTCAAGCAGTAGAGGAACATCAGACTGTGTCCCAGAGACAGAGGTGGAATCTGAGTAATGAGCTAGTTGGAGGTTGGGGGCAAGTAGTGATAGAGATAGATTCCTAGTTTTCCAATGTAATACGTATTATTGTGGATTCCAGATAGAAGATATGGAAATCAGTCTGCCGAACATTCACTACTTTAACATAGACATGTCCAAAATGGGACTGATCAACAAGGAAGAGGTAAGAGAACTTTTAAAATATTTAAAGCACATTTCCCCTGCCTTGCCTACTTTTTAACCCTCTTTGTAAACTTGGGATGATACAACTGCCACAACTCTTTTTTTTTCCATTTTTTTTTTATTAGTTGGAGGCTAATTACTTTACATCATTGCAGTGGTTTTTGTCATACATTGAAATGAATTAGCCATGGATTTACATGTATTCCCCATCCCGATCCCCCCTCCCACCTCCCTCCCCACCCCATCCCTCTGGGTCTTCCCAGTGCACCAGGCCCGAGCACTTGTCTCATGCGTTGTGGCTGTTGGGATATTTATAGTTGCAACTGTTTAGAGCCCACTTAGACTCTGGCCTTTCCGTATCTGAGGCTGGTATGCCATAGAAGTGGAAGAATACTTATAGAGGAGGCTTGAAAGTTGCAGAGAGTAAAGGACAAAGAAAGAACAGAGTGTGCCCAAAGAAACAGCTCTGAGATCTGCTTCTCCAAAAGATGCCACAGAAGGTCACAATTTCATTATTTTTCCATCACAAGGCAAGGAGAAGAAAGGAAAAAGATTATCTTTTTATTTTCTTCTATCATCCCTTTTAAATAGTCAGTTTGAGTAGCATGCAATAAACACACACAAAATGAAAGAGATTTGTGTTTCTAATTGCAATTACAGCAGGCAAGACGAGGAAGTTCAGTTTTCGAAAGGAAACCCAGACTTAGAAAAAGCACTTAACCATGGCTTGCTTTTAGACATGGCAAAAGGTCAGTGAAGGGTGTCCAGAAGGTCCTACCTCCTGGGCCTGCTGCCCCAGGAGCCTTATCAGTCACAGCCATCTGGCCAGGTACCTTGTTTCTGTTCTGTGCGTTAGGCTCCATCACGCTCTGTACTGTGACCGCTGTGAGGGAGGCTGGGGAGCAGCGCTGGGTAAGTAAGGTCATGCTGAGGTGCCTGGCATGGCTGAAATAGGGCCCGAGTTGCAGAGGACAGTCATTGTCCATTCAGCTGGAAGGACAGGCAGTCCTGTGTACTTCACAGGATGGAGGGGACGTAGATTCCCAGAATGTCACTGTTCATTTGGATGTAAAGACTCTTTTGACAGCTTACTTTCTAAAGGGCAGAAAGGGGACATGTTCAGCAAAGATGAAACCAATGGGCCCCAAACAGAGAAAGGCTCAGGCTCATGGCTAGAGCAGTGCATAGCTCAGGAACCCCAACCTAAGCAGGAGGGTCTCCCAAGGCTCCCGATACTGCAGGCCTGCAGTGATCCTATCTCGATGGTGTTCCGATAGACCAAGGCCACTGTGTCTTTTGCTCTAAGAAGTCAGACTCAAAACTTCCCCTGGAGACCTGCAGGCAGGAAGGCCTGAGGTCCTTCGGGTCAGGCTCTGTGTAAAGGCACTCAAAGGGGTGAGCAAGCTGTCCCTATGTCTGTGTTTGCACCTTGAGGATGGCTGGTCACGCTTGGGCCCTCACTCAGCAAGTGCCTACAAAGGGAGGGCAACATATGAGAAGCAGGAGTCAGGACACAAAGAAAACAGCAGAGAAGTGACTAATGCAGAGTGGAGGACAGAAGAACTGCAAATGCACAGCTGTCTGGAGCCATTTAGCACTGGACTAAGAGTCCTGAGGACCTCAAATGTCCCTGAGGGCATAACTGTATTATAGCATTGGACAATGATTGATGTTCAAAGTGAGTCATCAAGCAAAGGCCAAATTATGTTCACTACACTCTGTTTAAAAAAGCAGGGATATGTAATGCATCTGAGAAACATTTATATCCTGATAATTAAAAATTGTTGAAAAACTCTAATTTTTTGGAAAATCACCTCATCTCTCTTCAGTGTCTCTGAAGGTGCCCTGTGGTTTTTCTACAGGTTTTGTTACCATTAGACAATCCATATGGCAGAATTACTGGTACAGTCAAGAGGAAGCTGACTTCAAGGCTGTGACATTGTGGCCACCAGTGGGAGTCCATGCTCCATTGAGGCATTCCTTAAGCCACTTGTGATGCTGGAAATCATAGTGTATAGTCATGCAAATTTTCAACCCAGTATGTTGATTTATAGTGTTCATTTTCCTCCTAAATGAAAGAATTCTTCTGTACCTAGCTCAGCAAAGTATTTTGGGATTAGTAATTAAAACATGTGTTGTGGATACAGTTTATTTCACAAATGCTGAGTAGTATTAGAATAATCATAAATCAGTATTTCATTTTAATGGTCTTGGGCCTTCCTATCTTAGAGGAGCTTTACAATGCATTCAATAGGAAGATAATCATGAATCAATGGAGGTGTGATAACAGTTAATCTTGTGAACAAATTTAAGAAGTCAGCATTGCATTCATCCTACTGATGCTAAAACTTGCTCCTTGGCCATGCATAAAATGTAATGATAAAGTAATATTTTGAAAAATATCACCACTGTGACTTCAATTAGACTGAATATTTGAGTTCTTAAATATGCTCTGGCATATGTATTATTGGGAGTTTATTTCTACTCTAAAAGTACTTTTGAAATTTTAATGTATTGGTTTTATGACTTTTACAGCCCTTAAAGAATGTTTAGTACACACTGAGGCATTGTAAAAAAGTGTAAATTGTTTTTCTTTGAATAATGTATCACTTTTGCACAGAGTCACATTTAATAAATGGTAAGTCATTCCCCAGGTGGCTGAATATACATATATAAAGAAGACTAAATACTATATGTATGAATATATCAGCAGTGATGATTTCTGGATGGTGGGATTATGAGTGATTTTTGTATTTTGTCTTGTGATTGAATCTTCTAGATATGAACATTTATTACTTTTATAATCAGAGAAATAAATATAATTGATGATTTAAAGGTATATGTGTATTTGAATGGTGGTTATCTTTACATCAGTAAACTAACACTACTGTTGTACATACACCATAAAGAATTTTAGAAACCCATGACTAAAAGTTGTTTATATGAACATCCTAGATAACCTTTCTCCATTAAAAAATTTTCATCCTGCTTATTTAACTTAAAGGCAGAGTATATCACATGAAATGCAGGTATATTGTCACCCTGCTTATTTAACTTAAATGCAGAGTACATCATACGAAATACTAGGCTGGATGAAGCACAAGCTGGAATAAAGATTGCCAGGAGAAATATCAATAAACTCAGATATGCAGATGACACCACCCTAATGGCAAAAAGCAAAGAGGGATTAAAGAGCCTTTTGATGAAGGTGAAAGAGTAGAGTGAAAAAGCTGACTTAAAACTCAACATTTAGAAAACTAAGATCATGGCATCTATTCCCATCACTTCATGACAAATGGATGGGGAAACAATGCAAACAATGACAGCCTTTATTTTCTTGAGCTCTAAAATCACTGTGGATGGTGACTGCAGCCATGAAATTAAAAGATGCTTGCTCCTTAGAAGAAAAGCTATGACAAAACTAGACAGCATATTAAAAAGCAGAGACATTACTTTGCCAACAAAGGTCTGTCTAGTCAAAGCTATGGTTTTTCCAGTAGTCATGTGTGGATGTGCAAGTTGGACCATAAAGAAAGCTGTGCACCAAAGAATTGATGCCTGTAGACTGTGGTGCTGCAGAAGACACTTGAGAGTCCCCTTGGACAGCAAGGAGCTCAAACAAGTCAATTCTAAAGGAAATCAACCCTGAATATTCATTGGAAAAATTGATGCTGAAGCTGAAGCTACAATACTTTGATCAGCTGATGTGAAGAGCTGACTCATTTGAAAAGACCTGGATGCTGGGAAAGATTGAAGGTAGGAGGAGAAGGGGATGATAGAGGATGAGATGGTTGAATGACATCACTGACTCAATGGACATGGGTTTGAGCAAACTCCAGGAAATTGTGAAGGACAGGGAAGCCTGGTGTGCTGTAGTCCATGAGGTCACAAAGAGGTAGACATAACTGAGCAACTGAACCACAATGATTAGAAATCTCCATTTATTTAAATTTTTTGTCTCCCTTTTCATTAATACATACTCATGAGTACTTAGTATTATTTGACAATTCTGCATTCACTTTTATAATACTATTACTTAAGGTGCCATGTTTGATTGCACAATCTCATTTAAATCCTGACCCCATCTCTTACTAGCTCTGTGACAAGTTTCTGCATTTGTAAAATGGAGGTGAACATATAGAACCTACCTCAAGTTTTTTTGAGGATTAAATTAATAGTCTGTAAAGAACTATGGTAGTAGGGGGGCTTCCAAGGTGGTGGAGTGGTAAAGAGTCCACCTGCCAAAGCAGGAGACGCAAGAGACAAGGGTTCGATTCCTGAGTTGGGAAGATCCCCTGGAGGAGGAAATGGCAACCCACTCCAATATTCTTGCCTGGAAAATTTCATGGACAGAGGAACCTGGCAGGCTACAGTCTATGAGACCACAGTCGGACATATCTGAGCGACTGAGCACATGGTAGTTTTTATACCTGACACATAAATTTCTGTATGTGTTTGTTAAATGAAAAATCCTGCCTTCTTTTCATTTGTTTTTAGACCTACATGGAAAGTTATCATTGGATTTTGTGGGTGAGATGAGAGATGGGAGGTCTGAGAGCAGCAAATTCTAGAAGGTGCTGCAGGTCATTCTCAAGCTGCTGCTGCTTAATGAAGAACACGAGATAAGAAGGATGCAGTACACTGACATAGAAAGTTTTGGCTGTATTGATTACTCCTGTTACAAAATGTGCTTCTACATCATGTAACTTGCATGGCCAAATGGCTAGTACATTTTATTCCTCTGCTAATTTGATAATTCTGTGCAAAGAGGAATTTAGATTCTAACATGATTTTGCCTTAAAAAAGAAAAAAAACCTTAATTAGTTCCATTTTACTCAATGGTAATATAAATCTTAGAAATACTATATTTGTTTCAGAGAAGAGCAGAATTCTTAGAAATCGTAGTTTACTTTATTCATATATGCCTTTATTGTAATGAGTTGCAAAGGAACTATTGGAGGTTATATCCCAGGTGTGTGGCAGGAAAGTCTGTAGTCTGTGAAAATTTCAAGGACCAATTTCCTGTTTTGTGTGGTCAAGCCATTCAAGATGGCTGTTCTCGTGTTCTCTGTGCAGCTTCGCTCATATGACTATCCAATCCTCTGAATCAGAGGGCTTAATCAGTAACTGCCTATGTGCTTGGCCCCTGCCCCAGCTGCTAGTTTCCCTGGTAACTGATGAACCAACTTGATGTCAATTCCCCCTATAAAGGGTAGCCTCCTCCCCTAAATAGTGAAGACTGCGGCCATATCCTGCCTGTTGTTTGCCAGCCATGGTGGAATGTTGCTCCAGGATCCTTTGTTTTGGACATATAAGACATCAAACCATCAGTGTCTCTGGCACTGTCTCTGGGCTCTATCTTCAGTCTTGAGCCTGGGCAACTACAAGACTTGGAGGCCTGTGGGTGCAGCCCAAGAATTGGCAAGCCAGCCAAGAAGCCAAGGAAACTCCCATGAGTGCTGAGATATCAGGAAATAAGGACAGGGAGTGAAAAGTTATGTGGGTAACCCTGAGGTGATTAGCATGTGGGCCTGTGGCAGTTGACCACCATGAGACCTGTCTCCCTCTTCCATTATATTGATGATACTCCATAAACCTCAGTCTCTTTCCAGTTCAAAAATAGCCCTGTGCTCATGGCTTATCTGACTGCATGGGGTGGCTGGTAAATACAGATAAAATGCCAGGACTTGGATTATCTATCAAACACTTGGGTGTTATCTGGTCAGGTAAAATAAGCATACTCCCAACCTACCATCCTTAAAAAATAAGCCATTGACACAGGTTTTAGGGATATTAACTCAGGGATAGGTTTGAGAATTGGATGTGGCCAGTTACCTGAAAGGGTTTGTTTGGGGCCTGTGGCAATGACAAAATAATAGAGTGCCCTTGGACTCCTGGCCCCAGCTCTGAAGGATGCAGTGTGATGGAACAGCAATGATATGTGGCCTGCAGTGCCTTAAAACAGGTGGAAGACATTACTGCAGGCATACCTGCTGTGGACATCAAGCCACAGCAGGCATCAAGCCACAAGAAGATTGACTGTTCAGGGTCTGCACAGTTGTGCCCATGTGACACACAGGGCACCCACTGGAACTGGTAGTGAGCGAGGATCCCACTTTGCTGGCCGTGAAGTTCATTCATGGGCTAGGCTGATAAGAAGCCATATACTGGTGTTTCCACCTGCCTCACCACTCCACTGCTGCCAGACTAATGGGAAGAATGAAGGGGCTACTTCAACAATAGTTGATGTTCCCAACCCATGGACACACCCAGGAGCAATTGTCCCAGTGGCGGCACCATGTTAACCCAGAGGCAACCTGCCCACACCATTTGAGTTCAACCGCTGACCACCAAAGGACAACTGCCAACTATGGGTCAGGACAACAACTCACTTTTACCCTGGCCACAGGGTCTATGCTGAGGGGAACATACTATAGAAAGGCTGTGGGACTGGCAGGTAAGTCGCCGGTGCTTTGGTTTTGCTGCATCGTGGGGAATAGGATTAAAAAAGGGCTTACAGGTTTCATTTGTCTTCTACCTGGCCCCACTTAAGACTCCTAAGGACTAATCTGGGCCTCTACTGAAGACAAGAACCATTGTGTTGGGTTGGCCAAAGAGTTCATTTGGGTTTTTCTGTAAGATGTTATGGAAAAACCTGAAATATTTTAGGCCAACCCAATATTAACCCTGTGGTCTACTGTTACACCACCTCTCCTGGATTTGGCCCTGGCTGTGGGCACTGAGGGTGGGCAGGTGGGATGGTACTGCTGGGCAGGACAAAGCCCACGGGCAGGTGTGTGGTATGATCCAGAATGCTGTTACTGCTTGTAGTCTGCTTAATGGTCATGATCTTCCCTATACTGTGTCTGTTAAACATCTCACATTTCATCCCTAGTCTGACCAGAGGGAATCTGTGCACAGTGATGGCCACACTGTAAAATGAGTCTGATTGCAGGGTCGACAGTGAGATGCTCTTGTTGCCCACTGGACTTGCATGGAAAACCGACATAAACTCCTGGCTTACTCTTGATACTCTTTAGTTGCTGGTGTCTGTACTGCATTTGTGGTATCTGGGATGCAGTGTACTCTACACACCTCACTTCAGGAGTATGTCAGAAGAGGGGTGAACCAACACAGCAAGGGATGTGCAGGGTACAGAGGAGTGGAGTGCATGCTTAGGTCATCCAAGATGGCTGTTCTCTTGTTCTCTGTTCATCCCCTGCTTCACTCACGTCATTGTCCAGTCCTCTGAATCATAGGGCTTAATCAGTAACTGCCTACATGATTGCCCCCTGCCCCAGCTGCTGATTTCCCTGGTAACTGATGAGCTAGCCTGACATCAATACTCCCTATAAATGATAGCCTCTTTCTCCCCCAAGTAACAAAGATTGCCATGTCCTTCCTACCTGCCATCTGTCAGACATGCAGGGGTGCGGCTCCAGGACCTTTGTTTTGGATGTGCTTATTCCCAATAAGTGAAGTTCCTCAGTTGTGTCCGACTCTTTGCAACCCCATGGACTGTAGCCCACCAGGCTCCTCCACCCATGGGATTTTCCAGGCAAGAATACTGAAGTGGCTTGCCATTTCCTTCTCCAGGGGATCTTCCCGACCCAGGGATCGAACCTGGGTCTCCTGCATTGTAGGCAGACACCTTACCATCTGAGCCACCAGGCTGAAGAACAGGAGTGGCCGAGAGGAGCTACCCCACGTCCAAGGTAAGCAGCAGCCATGAGGAAATGCCCAACGTCCAAGGTAAGAGAAACCCAAGTAAGACAGAAGGAGCTGAGAGAGGGCATCAGAGGGCAGACAGACTGAAACCACAATCACAGACAACTAGCC